TAATATCTTATAATTTACTCTTTCTTAAAAATTATTTTTTAGAATAAATATAATAAATAATAATTTTAATAATAATTTTATTTTTAAATATAATAATTACTATATATATATAAAATAAAAATCACAAACTAAAAATCAAGATCATATTAACCACAGCTTAAATTTTTCAAAAAATGTGATATGCTATTAATATAAGGTAATATCTTATAATTTACTCTTTCTTAAAAATTATTTATAAAATTATATATATTTATTTTTTTAATACCATATTATATCACATAAAATATTATACACAAAAGATATACTTGAAGCAGGTGGTATTGTGGGGATAATTATTTTATTTTATTTTTTTATATAATTTTTATATGTCATTAAATAAGTTAATACATTTAATATTATATGTCATATATGAATAAAAAGAATCAATTATTTTAATAATATATTAAATTACATTAAAATAATATAAAAAATTATTAAAAAAGCATTTCCTTTTTAGCATGACCGATTTTTCTCGTTTCAAAACCCACGTGGAGAAAAAAGTCTGACGTGGCATCTGCCCTGGACAGAGGTACTTCTGTGACAAGCCTTATTTTAATAGTGCTCTGCAAGAAGCCAGACAGCTGTGGTTCGCTATAAAAGAGCAAGGCCCTGCTTAGTTCTCATCTTCAGGGCAGAAACTTTCTGAATTATCTTCCTCTTTCCTCTGTTTTTTCTTCGATGGCCGTCTTCTTAAAAATGTCTGTTTTTCTGAATTTTTTTGTGAGTGTTGTAATGGTAGGTCTCGTTAGCTCGGCAAAGTTTGATCAGCTTTTCCAGCCAAGCTGGGCAATGGATCATTTTATCCATGAAGGGGAGCTTCTTAAGCTCAAACTTGATAACTATTCTGGTAACATATCAGTATCGTCTCCTTAAAAAATAGAAACATTCCTCAGTTTCCACATCTGCCATTTCAAAATCAGAAATTTGACCCTGTTTCACGTTACTATTTCTTTTCCTTGAATTCTCTGCAAAATACATGATAGATTGTATGAATTTGACTGATAAATGGTGGGTTAGGTGGAAACAGGAGATGGGTTTTCATCTAAAACTACTTGCATCTGTTCTTCGTCCGAATTACCCTGTTTGACTTTGGCATTTGAAATATGCAAAAGAACTGGTTACAAGAATGGTTCTGAAGTGGTGGTTTTGGTAAAATATGGGCTATGTTTTCCTCTAACTCATAAGCGAGTGTTCCCTGTTCTGACTCTACATTGCCCTGTTTTAAACTGTCATTTCTTCCTTTTAAATTTCTGCAATAATAATAGGTAAATGCATACCTAATTGAAAAGTTGGGTTGCTGATAACAGGAGCTGGCTTTGCATCAAAAAGCAAGTACATGTTTGGGAAAGTCACCATTCAGATTAAACTTGTGGAGGGTGACTCTGCCGGGACTGTCACTGCATTCTATGTGAGTTTCAATGCCATAAAACATTGCTATAAACAAAAATGCATGTTTAATCTTTACTGCTTTCTTTAGAATTGCCCTGTTCCTGATTCAATGTGATCCATTCCACCAGCTTTTTGTACGCATTCCAGCTCATCTGGGTTACTTGGAAATCATGCTTTACGGTTTTGGGCCTCCTTCTAGGTTCCCTGTTATCAATAATGATTCATAAAAGTTAACACAAATGCAATTAACTTTTACCCATTTCACGACAATATTAGCTTGGCCTCTTCTGAAATCATTCAGTAGCAGCCACCTACTCTCTTACACTTTCATTACTCTCTTTAAAGACCATTCATTTCTTCAAAGAATCCCATTCATTTCTTCAAAGAATCAGTACCACCCATAGAACATAGACCTTTAATCTTTGATTGGTTAATCTTAGTAAATGCAAGGAATGGCATGCCCTGATGGCGATCACTAATTCTCTATGTGATGAAAATGAAATCTTTGGTTATACAGATGTCATCAGACGGTCCAAACCGCAATGAGTTTGATTTTGAGTTCCTGGGGAACACTACAGGGGAGCCATACCTGGTCCAGACAAATGTGTATGTCAATGGCGTGGGCAACAGGGAGCAGAGGATGAACCTCTGGTTCGACCCCACCATGGACTTCCACTCCTACTCCATCCTGTGGAACCAGCGCAAAGTAATGTAAGAAACCCCCCCCCCCCCCCTTTTATCCCTTACTTTTTGTATGTATTTATACGTTTTTGAATGTAAAGCTGCACGTAAAAACCAACTCATAGGACAAGGCGACCAATCTTTGAATGGTATGTGTCCAAAGTTTCCTATAGAAGTTCATAGAGATATAGACAGACTTGTTCTATGTTATGTAATGAAACAGGACAATACAAATTAAATGGGACCTCCCTACTGCTCTATGCTTGCCTCTGTGGGGAATTGGGACGAAAAAATATTTGCAATCTTTTTACTTAAAACACTGCAAGATAAGTCATCAAATGAAGGCCCCTAAATGCAGGGGCAGGCCTCCTCCCATTTGATAGGCCATGTTTTGCAGCATGGTGTGATCTAAACGGTAAAACATCGAATGCATTTTCTTATAGGTGAAGTTTGGGGCTATCTTAAATGAATCATTTCAGTAAATGATATCTTAAAGTTGCATTCTTTTTGAAACTGTGTTATGTAGTATTTGAGTATCTCTTCCTCTACCCATAATAAAATTTCACTTTTTTCATAAAAAAAATTTGAAAAAAATGGTCTTTTTGGAACTTTTGTTGTAGATTTCTAGAAAATGTAAGAAATGATGTTGTAATGTTTTTTATTCAGGTTTCTGGTGGATGAGACCCCAATAAGAGTGCACAGAAACATGGAAAACAAGGGAATTCCTTTCCCGAAGGACCAAGCCATGGGAGTTTACAGCTCCATATGGAATGCGGACGACTGGGCAACGCAGGGTGGCCGAGTTAAGACAGACTGGACCCATGCACCCTTCATTGCTACCTACAAGGGCTTTGAGATAGACGCTTGTGACAGCCCCGTGTCAATGACCATATCAGACACTGCCAAGAAATGCAGCAGTGGTGGTGGTGGTGAGAGGAAATACTGGTGGGATGAACCAACTATGTCCGAGCTAAGTCTCCACCAGAGCCACCAACTCCTGTGGGTTAGGGCAAACCACATGGTCTATGACTACTGCACTGACACTGCTAGGTTCCCAGTCAAGCCAGTGGAGTGCGAGCACCACCGCCACTAGTGGTGGAGACAGACACAAGCTCGAAATTGGTTATGGGTGCTTTGTAAATAGTGATGATGGTAGTAAAACGTGCACTGTTTCATATTTTTGGTTATTTATGGTTCTATTTTAGCTTCAACATTGTAAGATGGTCACGAATTTAATATAAATTTAGAATTTCTGATGCATTTAAATATTTTAAAGACCATTTGCTTTTACTCAATGTAATAATTGGATTATGGGTCATATACTAGAATCAAAACATAGGTACATTACTCATGGAACCAAAAAATGGAAAAATGATAAAAGATGGTAGGTGGGAATTGACATAAAAGCGTTAGACCGCACAACTTTTATGAAATAATGTAGACTGAAATCTCTGAAAAGTTGTAACTTTTATCATTTTCAGCCCTCTAGTGTATGAAGTTAGAATTGAACCAAAGTTAAGCAAGTGGTACATGAAAGAAATAAATGGTGTATTCAGAGGACCATATATCTCCCCTACCATACTATAACATAGACCAAATGGGTACAAAAGTGATGATTTTTTTTTTTTTTTTGAAACAGGCACAAATTTAGAGAGGAGAAATTTAAACCTAGCATCCAAGAGTAGGAGTGCATCTCTTTTAAAACTTATAGCCAAATTGGTCTTTTAGACCAGATGCCTAAAGGTCACGAGTTCCATCAGCGTGTGGAAAAGGCATATTTGGTTGAAGATGGTGGCACTTGTTTTTGGAATCATTTGGTAAAATCGACTCACGATCTTTGTTTCTGTTTGACTTTTCATCCACGTCAAGTCATCCACAGACTTAGCTTATGGGCAAAAAAAAAAAAAAAAAGGGACTTCTTCTATTCATTATAGTTTTCTCCCTGACTAAATTTAGGTGCTTTAATTTAATTGTTTTACTTTTTATTTATATGTGATATTAAATATTATTATTTTAATTTAATATTTTTATTTAAGTCTATTATAAATATGATAAAGCTTTGTTAGGGATAAATGTGCCATTTTAACTCTTAATTATGGAACTTTAATTAATCTTTAAATTGCATAAGTATATGTAAAGTTTAAAAAATGAAACAATTAAAATGGAATGGAGAGAGCATTGAATCAAAAGAAGATGATTCCACTTTATATGGGATGGGGTTATGATCACTCATCATAAAGCCGCTTAACTAATACTTAATCTATTTATAATTATTTTCTTATATAGTCTGTTATAAGATCTAAAAAAATCAATTTATAAATTAATTTAAATATGTTAAATAATAAATGTCAATTATTTTATTTGTTAATAACTATTTTTAATAATCAAATTAAATAAAATTAAATGATTTTAACAAAATAATAAATGACCATATTCATATCGTATATGGAAACTAATTAAACAAATTATTGCTCATGGATTTCAAATGCTATCATGATTAACATTTGGATTCATAAACCATCTTTTTTGTTATCAACTATGGAATGGAAGCATGGAGTCTCTGTATGAGATACCCAAGAATTAATACCTATTAAGGCAAATCACTCAAATCCTTTCTATAATTGAGAATTCTTCATGTTCAAACCAAAAGGCAGTTTACGTGAGTTCAAGTGAAGCATATCTCATGCCATATCCATAGGTTATTTTAAGCTAGAAGGATATTGAAGATACACTACATCCATCTTCCAATGTAAGTGCAGGTGTTGAACTAATTCCTCCAATTGAGACAGGTTAGTTTCCATTAAATACGAAGATTTGTACTGGAGGGGAAAAAAAAAAACCCCCTAATTTCATCAAATCATGAATTGAAATTTCAAAACAAAATTTTTGCTGCCGAGAAAGAAAGAACAATAAACTAATGTCATCATTCACAAAATCCCAATATAAGTTAGAGAGTGCATAAGTATTGCCAATTAAGTGGAGCCTTGGCAATTGAAGTTGCTTTGTCACTAACATAAAAAAGATTCCACACTCCTATGACAAGTGTTCGAATCAGTGTTTTCCCTCCCCATCTCTCTTCCTCCACCGCCTTGAACCGCCTACTCTAGAACATAAGAAAACAGTATTGTCAATCAACTGCTAGTGTAAAGGTCTACAATTTCTCTATTTCCTTAGAAAGTAAGCTACTTAGATATTAACCAAAAGAAAAAGGTAGGCTTTTGGGATGTAAAGGTATCCATTTATGATGCAACATAAGATTGAGTGATCATCCATGTTAAAAGAGCTTCGACAGAGCTTATCCTATCTCAAGCAATGCATTTACATGCATCAATTGTGTGCATGTGTATGCCTGGGCCCCCACGCACAGCATGCTTCTCTTTTCCAACATAAATCATCAACCTAATGTTGCCAAACCTTTTACAAAACACGTCGTATATTGAAAATCTTATTGACTAAATCGACCTAATCAAAACACATAAATTGATGTGGTGGACCCTGGAGGTTGAATTTCAGGGTTAGTTCTTCTGAGTTAAGTCCTGTGCTATCTGTTCAGGACAATGATCACCTTCACAATCATGCATTTCTATCTCAATAATTCAAAGCACAGATCCCATCGGAGAGAAAGACATATGTAGGGGGCATCTTAAATGATTCATATCAAAAAAGTTGATAGGGCTCAATTTTCAGAATCAAATGATTCATTATGGGACCCTTTTGAATGCAAGGAATAAAAGCTCTTTGTGCTGTTTGAGTTAGTAAGATGAAATGCACAATCATTAACCATTGGCATTGCATACCCCACGAAAAAGAAATCTCTATGTAAATAATGATAGCATGAAATTTAATTGGTATGAGGGTGATGGGCCTAAAAGAGACAAGGGACGGTGGGGGACAAAACATCTGTAAAATCAACAAGAAAGGATCCAGGCCCTCTTTCAATGGAAAAAGAGTGACTGGTAGAGAGCATATCAGATACTGTAGCAGAAAATATTCCATTATAATGGGTTTTCTGCCATCACTGGTGAGAGTTTCTTAGTCATCGACCTACTTAAACAATTGCTAAGCACTTAATAATGATTTGATCTGATTAATTATGAGAACATGATCAATAATTGAACTGGACTCACTTTAACCAAAGCAACAACTCTGGACAATTGTAATGATGGTCTAAAACCAAGTATATTTCCCTAATGGATGTAAACTAAAAGCAATCTTAATTCAGCTCATATTTTTTCCCTGTAGAATAATTAGCACAAATCAACAGATTGCTAGCAGGGTCATTAATCTAACTAATTGTGGGAAACTAGTGGAAGAGAAGATGCTGAGAAAAATCCTGACTTATGTCAGTTAAGCAGCACAAATGTATCTCAGCGCACCTATGTCCCTTAATATAGGAGAATTGCAAACTGAACTAGAAATGGTCATAAAAATAGTATTTGGCTAATTGCCAAACATTTAACAGTTTCAACACCATGAACCATGTTAAACCTCAAGCTTCTTTGGAAATAAAAATCTCATAATCAAATTATAAAGCTACAAGAATCGCCATATATGCCTTTGCATATAACTACAACTATTGTCATTTATGATCCTCTAAGCAGGCAGCAGTGACAAACTTAAAGAAATGTTTTCTTGGTTCTACAGAGGAAAAATAACTGCAAAATTACATAAACCAACCAAAGCTGAGGAAAAATAAACCTAGATTGTACTTTTTGAAATCAAACTAACTTTATGTCCTGAGTATGTAAGATATGGGATCAAAATAATTATTTGTTATAAAAAAGTCGAAGTTGGATCTCTGTATGTTCCAAAACACCAAAGTACTCAAGTTGGTGCAATATGGAATAGCACTCACTTTATCTCCAGCCTACTTCATGTGCCAAGAACATAATCCTTCAGGTTTTATGGGTACATTTGAGTCTCATCATATTATTGCAACAAAAAGAGGGAAAGAATAAGATACAATTAACCAGTATTCCATAGACAAATGTCAAGAAATAGCATAGTTAAATCATTCTAATCTCATTTTGCACAAAATGTTGTGTTAACTGCATTTAAAAAAGTAGGAGAAACACAAGCAACGGTTTTTTATGTTTTGAGGGTTTGAAGGTTAGTATAATTTTTTTTTTAAATGAAGTATAATTTTTTGTATTGACACCAATCAATTTAAAATGACAATTATACAGTCAAATGACAACTATAAATCAAATCATAAATTTTCAAAATTTCATCAACAAACATAAAACTAGAATACAAACTACGAAAGGCATGACTCGAACCTCAAACACTAGAAATAGTTACTTATGTATACATGTATCATGATGTGTTATATACTTTTACATATATATATGTATGAGTATCTAGACCTTTTGTAGAACTAGTCCTATGGTACCAACACTGCCCCATTCACTTGTCTTCAAGTGCTGAGTGAATCTGCCATGAGGTGGTTTAAGGTGCTGTTATACCCAAACTTGAGTCCTATATGGTTTAAGACACGTGAAGCTAAGCCTCTGCTAAATAAACTTTCACTTGACAGATCCCTGCTAGATGGACCTCCACTGGACACACCTCTGCTAGGCAAACCTTTGCTAGAAAAACCTCGACTCATTGGGTAGACCTCTAGTGACATAGCTACACCACAAACCTCTACTAACGCAGTTATAAAGTGTTAGAATATCATCAAGAATAAAAGACTAAGTTCAATTGAGTTAGAAAACATTATCATACTTGAACTCTATTGTAATTTTCTATAAATACTCTTGTGTAGACTGAGGAAGGGGATCTGGATCTTCTCTCTCATTCAAGCATTGTAGCTCTTTTTCATCAATAAAGTTCTCGTCCATCTATTTTTTAGCATTAACAGGTGGTCTATTGGAATTGATTGCACCCAAATGAACCTTCAATGGTAACCTAAAATTCTATGAAGCTCTAAGAACAAATAAATTACATGAAATTAAACCATTTCATCATTCAAATCACATGTAATTACTAAAAAAAAAAAAAAATTAGCTCAAAATTAATGGAGAAAGAGGATTTACTGTGGAGCTTACAGATCAAAAGTAACCTTAAGAACTTTAAACAATCACTGAATCTTCCACAAGAGGCTTTATTGGTGTTAAGGATTTATTTTCTCAATATGCACTGATATAGAAATAATTTTTTTATATAATTTTTTTATACAACTTATATATATTATTAAATAAGTAAA